GGGGGGTGACATTGTTTAAGCAAAACTGAAAGAGGGAAAAATGCATTTTGGACAAGAATTACAACACAATAGAATTAGGGATAAAGGAAAATGATGGTTCAATTAAACAGTCAGACATATATATAATTTCATATATGATGTATGAGTCTGATATACATGTCTGATTTCTTAATTGTATCATCATTTTCCTTTGCCCCTAATTCTTTCGTGTTCTTGGCTTCTCTAAAATGCTTTTTCCTTTCAGGTTTGCTTAAACAATAGATTTTTATCCTGTGAATTTCAGGTGTCAGCAATATATAACGTCATTCAGGCAACATGCAGCATGTGTTTGTGTACATCCACGTATATGTACATATATAAACAAAGTATGATCCAGAATGTGGTCCACTTGGGACCACATTGAAGTCAAGAGGGTTCTGCCTTGGCACAGTTGACTTCCCATGAACCACACTGTGTGATTGAGGTCTTGGATTGTATCATCCTTCCTGCTTTTAAATAGAAGTAGAATTTCAGTGCCCTTTCCTACTGTGTTGTTTTCATCCCTTCAGTTCGGTTGGCTGCCCCGGTACAGTTGTAGTAAATAAGTGTTCCATATTATTCTCACCTGCCACAGGTCTTAAATATGAAGTGGGAAGAATGCAGTTACTGCATGCTGTCACCACAGAAGGAGAGAACCTAATATAACAAGTTCTCTTTGCTATTGCCCATTGAAATATTAAAGAAGTTTACCAGGCTTAGACAACTGAATGAGAGGTCAAAATCCAGGCATTGTCATTTTTTTGTTTTCTCAATGGCAAAAATCTTACTGACTTAGCCTAGAATTTAACTGGTGATTCTTTCTGTCAGGATCATTCCACAGCATCCAGTAAATTGCTTGTAATTTTATCCTAAATGCTGAGCTACTTAAAGTTACAAATTAGCGGGAAGTGGGTTCAGGGAGAGTGAAACTGGATGCAGGTTTTGATTAATTTGTTCCTCCCATAGTGGGCTATACAGAAGAAGACTATCAAAGCCATCCCTTGGGTAGAGCGAATCAGGGCAACCACCCCGGGCCCTGTGCTTTGGGGGCCCCCACAGAGCTGGGCAGAGCAGCTGTAGCCCCTCTTGCAGGGCCTGCCTGGAGCTGGTAGCTCAGCCCTATACACTCCCCGCAAGCCGCCAGCTTTGCATTTGCTGAAGAGCAGCTCATTCAGGGCGTGCAGGATGTGCTTGGCCCTGGGCACCAAATTTCATTGCTACAGCACTGCTGTGCCCTGCCTCTGTGGGGGTCCACAGCACCGCAGTGTTAAAGGAGCCCCACACAGGCTGATTTGCCCCAGGCCTCGCACCCTCCTAGGGTCAGCTCTGCCTACTACAGTTAACATACTTTTTCTTCATTTTGTTCATGTATGCCCACAAAATTTGGCATGTTGGCACCTTTCTAGTGTATTTTGCCAAGTGTCTTGGATTGAACATGTCTTGTAATCAGGTTTAAATAACACTAAATATTGGTGTGTATTTATTCAGGTATGACCTCTTATTATTTTAATAGCCTCTAAGAAGGATTTTTTTTTTCAAAGACAAAGGACAGTTAGATGCATAACTTCCAAAAATAGATGGGAAGGGGGCATCTTGAATACTCTGAAATTTTAACAGTGGCACAAAAAACCTCTGGGTGATCTCAATGCAAGCAATATTTTCAAATACTTGTTTTTATGTATTACTTGATTGGTGTTTTTTTATTCGTTTTAGGTTGCGTCCTTAGCTGGGCCAGGAGGACAAGTTGAAATAGAACAAAATTTTCTCAATAACAAATTGAAGACAATAACTGCTTACTTTGGTGACCTAATCAGACGTGACATATCTTGAGCTTAACAAGTATATACCCAAATAAATGGATCATAGTGTGTGATTTCCTAATTATATACTTGACTTCCTTTTGTCCTTAATCCTTTTATGTTCTTGGCTTATCTAAAATGTTCTTTTTCTTCCTTTCAGTTTCTTAGACAGTATTATTTTTCAAGTGTCAATAAATGCTTTTTTATAAAAGAGACTTTTGAAATATTCATTATTATAATTAAGTGACATAATTTTTAGTTGATGTAAAACCTTACAGTAAATCTAAGAGGAACTGTCCATAAAATGAAACATCACAGCTTTTAATTTCTGCTAATATAAGATGAGTTAAAAACCTTTACCCTATTTTTCCAGCCCTGTTTCTGTTCACTTGTGGGGAGGGCAGGGTTTGTATGTGTGCACCTTTGTATTTTCTTCATAACAGTTTAATAAAAAAAAAAAAAAAACAGTTTGTGTGCAACAGTTCTTTTGTTCATTTATACTCAACAAATTAAAAAGTAATAAGAAAGGAATCCAAAACCTACCTGTCAGATTGTATCAAAAACTAAAACAAGGCTGTTTTAGGCCATTTCCATTATCCTTGTAATATGCTAGGCTTCACAGATCTGTTTCAATGGCTACTTCAGCCTGGCAACAACTTGTCAATCATTGACAGCAGAATGGTGGTGCTGCAGTTCCTGGAATACCCTCGCGTTTTATTTGCCTTGCCAGCATTTCCGATAAACTCGTTGCTGCAGAGGCTTTCTGAGGAAAGTTCAAACTGTGTTAGAAATTTCTACCAGTGTTCCTACCTAATCCTCAGTGGTGTGCCAGGGTCACATTTATATGCCTTTTGGGGAAGTTGTCCCATTAGCTTCCCTTCCACCTCTGAGACACATGTACCAACTCATGCCCTCCAGGCTTCAGGAAGCAAACTCTAGGCCAAGCAAGTCAGAGACCACCCTCTCAACTGTGAATGGAAGACTGTCACTCCCTCAGACTGCAGATTGAAAGACACCGAAGGTACTGCCAATGCTGAGTTGGGTAAGGAGTCTTTAGGCCAAACTTTCTCCCCTCTACTCCTCCTAGATCTGATTTCAAAGGGTCCCCCTAATGATGTCAAGCCAGGGCCTCAAGGTGGAAATTCAGATCCATTAGTAAGGAAATGAAGGTTTTCTAGGACAGCCCAGGAAAAAATTTGAACTCTTCCCAAGAAAAAGTTCAATTTGAACTTTTGCTACTTTCCCCAAGAACCAAAACAAGACACCATTAAGTTGATAAAACAACATATCTAGTTTTCTTGAAAGCTTAGAGATTGCTATTTGTACATTTTTGGGGCAGAGTTCAAAGCTAATTCTGCTTGTGAGGTAGAAGCATGGGGACAAATTCTTGAAGGAATAAATCAGTGCTGGTTTCTTTATTCACTCCATGGAGGGAAGAGGATTAGAGGGTATGGTGGATTATGAGTAATTGGTCTTCTGTTTACCTTATAGTGCAGCATAGCAGATTTATGCAGGGAAGACTAAGCTACAGTTCTAAGCCAATTCCTCTGTGCAAATAAAAAAAAAGAGAGAAAAGAAAAAGGGAACTCTTCCCTGAAGGAAGGAAATCCAGCTTGTAAGGATTTGGAGTTAAAGGATCAAATAATTGTTTGGTTATTGTTGCATACTTTTTAAAATGTATACCAGGAATGGTCAATCAGTATGGCATGCAGCGAATCAGGAAAGGGGCAGGCAGCACAGTGGCAGATAGGGCAGAAAGCAAGGCAGCCAATTGGGGAGGGAGCAGAGAAGAGGAGCAAACAACAGAGCAACAGATCAGGCAGGAAACAGAGCAAACTGGCAGATGAGGCAGGGGAAGGGGATTGAAGTGGCACTTGGATTGATGGAGGGGTTTGATTTGTGGTACTCCTGCCAAGAAAAGGTTTGCCCCCACCAGTGTACAGTATGCAGTCAGACTTCCAGAGTTCTGAGTACAGTGAAACTGTGCTTAGCTATGCAGCTGCCCTGCAGGTCTCTTCGTGTTCTCTAGATCAGTGCAACCTTTTACATCTTGCATCCCACTAGCCATTGGTCCCAAAAACCCTGGTCCCACCATGATAAATGACGAGCGGCCCCAGCGGGCAGTTGACAAGAAGATCCCCACGCAGCTCCTCCGCTCCATGCCACGCCTCGGAGAAGGGCGCTGCAGGGAACTGCAAAGAGCAGCTGCCCCCCAGCTCCGCGCCCCTGCAACCCCATGCTGCAGGGAGCAGAGGAGCCACACAGGGATCTTCTCGCCGCCGCTCGCCCTGCACTACCCTGGTGAAGCGCCTCCTGTACAGTGAGGGCTGCAGCGTTGAGCTGCGCCCCTCAAACAGTGGCAGGGCAAGCAGCCGCCACTCCCTGCCCCCTGCTTCCCTTCCCCATATGCGTGTACAGCCCAGCAGGCACAATCTTCCCAGCCGTGCCAGATAACGCCCACCCAGCTGCAGAGGCACTTGGGGGAGGAAAGCAAAGTGGCAGGGAATGGCAGCTGCTTGCCACTCCTTGCTCTGCCCTGGGTACCTCTGCAGCCCAGCAGGCATGATCTGGTGCATCAGGGCCGCGTGGGGATCTCCACACTGCTACTGCAAGCTCTGCACTGCCCTGGCAACACACCACCTTCATGTGGAGCTGCAGGGAGGGCAGCAGCACTTGAGCTCACAGCCTGCTCCTGCCCTGCATACAGATCTGGGGGGCATGGGTCCCCCTGCCCCTTGTAAGTATGCGTGGCAGTGGGGAGCCAGCCCTCCCCTGACGAGCCACCCGAGGCTCTGTCCTGCTCCCCGCTAGGGTCCTGCAACCACATACTGCAGCCCCAGGCCCTGAGCACCCCCAGCCCCAGCCAGTGGCAACATGTAGGGGGTGCACGTGCATCCCCTGAGAGTGCCAGCTGGGGAGTGCGGGTGCCAGGAGAAGCGATCCCTGCAATCCCCCACGGCTGATTGTGCCGGCCGATGGGCCATGGGGGACTCCCTCCCCTCGGCGCGATTGGCTGTGAGGGGACCCTGGTTGCTAACTAGCCACTGGGGGGCAAGCGCCTCCCCTGACTCAGGAGGCACCAGTCGCCTGTGGCCCCAGCCCTGCCCAGCTCCATCCCTACAGGGACCTCAATCCCTCTCTTCCCCCTGACTTACCTGCCAGAGCTGCCCGGGGCTACATGCATGTGCTGTACATGCACGTGGTGTCCCCTATCTCACTGCCTTCCTTCCAGCTCCCTGCAGGTTGGTACTCTGCCAGCCTGCAGGGAGCTCACTGCCGGCAGACTTCATTATAAAGGAGCTTCACTCCCAGAGACTTCACTGAGGCATAACTATAATTTTTTTTTTAAACTTCAGGTCCCACCTAGATGACCTTCTCATCCCACCAGTTGAGAAACACTGCTAAATGAATAAAAAACTACTCTTCATAAACTAAAAGGGTAAAAAAATATCAACCTTATCCAGAGTTACTGCCGTGAGTTCCCACATGTTATTAGGATGTCATCCCTTGCTACTACTGTGGGCCACTTTGCCCTAATGTCCAGACTGCTGTTGGAAATTGTCATGGCTTACCATTGCCACTGCCAACAACAGCTGGCCATGGATAGGAAGGAGGAATAGTAATTATTCTTATTGTTTGGTAGCATAGTTGGGGGGTTTCTTATTTTTTGTAACTTAATTCTTATTTTTTGTTGTCACACAGCTGATGGGTCTGAGAATGTTCCCAACCCAGGAATGGTGTTGAACTGCCATCTACAAAAGGACCTGAGTTACAAGTTGGGTACGGGGAGGATTTTTACCTAATTAGAAACAAAGGCCCCACAGACAGGCTAAAAAAGCCAATTGAGGCAAGAATCTTCTTAGTGCTTGTTTGATTGTGCTCGAGTTTTTCTTCTTCTGGGCTGCTATTCTTACTTTCCACTTCCTGGCCAGCTGCTGGTGGTGGTGGAAGCAGCGGCCATGGTAAGCTGTGACAATTTCCATCAGGAATCTGCATGTTAGGGCAAAGTGACCCACAGCAGTAGCAAGAGGTAACAGCCTAATAACTTGTGGGCACTCCCAGCAGTAACTCTGCTGTATCATTTGGCAACCTCTATGGCTGCTTACAGATGTAAAAGGAAAAACAAAACAAACTAGTGCTTTACTTTAAACTTGTTGTGCCCTCACGCCAAGCCCAGTGCATGCCCAGAAGAGGCATTGCATTGGTTGAACCCAGCTCACCCAACATCTGTATAGATCAGGTGCTTTAGTGGGGCTTTTATCTATTGAATCAGCTATTAGATAAAAGCACAAAAAAGCTCCGCAGAAGTGCCCGATCTATACAGATGCTGCAGAGCCAGGTCAAAATAATGCACTGCTTCTTCCTGTAAAGCATTGGTGGGGGGTGTTCACATCTGTCAGCAACCTATGTGCTTTCAAAGGCAGTGATGTTTTTGTCTTGTGTTTGCATGGCACCCAGAATAGTGGGGTTCTGGTCCATGATAAAAAGGTATTAGCCACTTTTATAAATAGTGTTAGCATAGGAAATACCTAAAAAAAAGAACAAAACAAACAACAACACACACACACTCTCATAGCCTAAGGGCTTGTTTCTGAAAAAGATAATGGGACAGAACCGGTTTTGTTCAGGTAATTGAGGCCTTTGTCATTGAGATCAGATGCTCTGCCAATTGACTTCTTAGCTATCCTGGTACATACTTCAGAATAATTGTGGAGAAAAAACAGATTCCTAGCTCTGGGTCCTGCTAGACTCTATAGGAAGGACGATGGATGGCCTGGCAAACTGAAGCAATTGCTGGAGTACAAAAAGAGATTATACCATTTTGCAAACACAAATCTAGGGTACTGCTGAGGTGAGACCAAATAAACATCTTCAGTTCCTCAGTGCAGTCTGCATGACTTAGGACAAACCTTCTGTCTGGAATTAGGCCCTCTCCCCCTTCAATTTGTGCTAGCCTTTGAGTTTTTTTTAAGTGAATTTCCATCTCAAAATGAGGTCATAAGGCATTGCCCAGAACGAGCTGTTAGTTGAACTGTACAAAAATCACAAGATCCATAGATTTTCTCTGTCTCTGTAGGAGCCTTGAGTTGCAGCAGAGGAAGTTTAGGTTAGTGATTAGGAGGAACTTTGATAGGGCTGTGTGAAATTTTGCCCCGCATTTTGTTTTGAAGCTGTTTCGATGCATTTTGGGCTTGAAACAGTGAAATCAAA